CCTTACAGTGACTTTTGCAGCTGACAGACTTGGTTAGGGTCTGCATTAGACCCATGTGGTTGTTCGACAAAGATTTCAGCATCGACAGGGCCGTAGAGGAAGGCGTTGGCAACGTCGATTTGATGGAGTTTCTTCCGGTTCATGGCAGCTATCGCGAGGAGAATCCGCAGTGAGGTGTGTCGGCTAACTGGTGCGAAGGTTTCGGTGAAGTCTCGTCCGTGCTCTTGGTCGAAGCCACGCACGACCCATCGTGCCATGAATTTGTCTATCGTTCTGTCAGCTTTCGTTTTCACGCGAAAAACCCATTTTCCCATGAGAATGGTCTTGTTGCGTGCCACTCCGATAGGCACGACTTTCCAGGTGTTGCGTTCTTGCAGCGCCTTTAATTATCTGTCCATGGCTTCATGCCATTTTTGCCTGTGTTCCCCCCCCCAGAGCCTGTTGAACCGTGGCAGTCTCCTTCGGCGGCGCTGCTCCGTGGACGGCGGTGACGAGTCCCAGTATCTGCATTCCACTCCGTGTGTAGCGGGGGAGATTTGTGTCCTCGGGATAAGCTGCTTCATCTCCTGATTCTGAATCAGGTAAGAAGTTGGGCCCTATGCGTTCGGAGACGTTGGTGTCAACCGGTTGGGGTGTAACGTAACCGTTGTCGGCGAAGTCGTAGTAGACTTCGGCGTTGACACTTTCGCGAGGGTTGTCGTCGTCCATGGGAATGTCCACTGAGCAGTACGGAAGAGGTCCGGCTTCCTCCAAAGCTCCGTCCATGTTCTGCTCGTCCCCGTCAGCTTCATATGCTGCCGAAGCAAAGGCTCGGTTGCCACGGAAGCCGCCCATGAGGTCTCGATCTGCTGCCAGGTTGTCCAGGTACGTTTGAAGTGTAAGTCGCTTGTAGAAAATGACATCACGTGCTGCTACTGTTTCCTTCGAGTGGACGTAAAAAATCTTCCATGCGTTGTAATGTTTTTCGATGCCCAGGTGTAGTCCCCACTGTGCGCGTTGTGAAAATCTTCTGGCCCTTGCAGTGTGCGGTCGGTACTGTACCATGCACCCAAAAACTCGTAACATTTTTGTGTTGCCCAGTTTTCCTGTCCACAGCAGATGCGGTGATGCGTTGTTCGGGAGCGATGATGACGAGAGCAAGTTGTGCAACATGACAGCGTGGTCCATTGCCTCGGGCCACTGGTGGTTGGGCAGTCGCATGCCGCGTAACAGTTTGCGCATGGTGTTCTGGAGGGTTCTGTTCATCCGTTCTGCCATGCCTTGCTGTTGATGGGCGCACGGAAGTGAGATGAGTCGCTTGATGCCTCGTTCTGCGAGGTACTGCTTGAATCTTTGTGACTGATATTCTCCTCCCCCGTCTGACTGGAAGCTTTTCAGCTTTGCTCCTGATTCTCGTTCTGCCACAGATAGTCAGGCGACGAAGGCTTCAAAGGCCATGTCGCGACTCGGAAGGTTGAGATGCCAGACGTATCGGGTGGCGGCGTCGATAAAAGTGATCACATAGTTGTATGCTCCCTACCCGTGTTCGCGGGCGTACAAGATGTCGCTGTAGACTTTCTCCAATGGTGCGTAAGCTGGCGCGCTTGGATTGTGGTGAGGGACAAACGATTGATGAGGTAAGTCGGCTTCGGGGTAGGTAAAACATGTACCTCGGACTCGTTGAAGTTCTGTGCCGTCGGTTAGAAGTAGGGAGTCTTTGTCGAGTACTGCTACCCTGATCGTGTTGTTTAACGTTGTGTTGCTTGGGTGACCCAACCTTTCGTGCCACAGTGATTCGCTCGCGCGGTGTCCTGGTGAGCGCCTGTATAGGTCGGAGTTGGAATAAAATCATGCGGTGAGGTTGGCGCTTCTGTGAACTTCACGTGGAGTGGGAGTCAACTGCTGTGCAGGAGTTGGTGGAGTATCGTCGGTGAGAGCTGGTGCCATTGAAGGACCCGCGATTGGTGTCGTAGTTGTTGTTGCTGCTATTGATGTTGTCTCTGCTACTGCCGATGTTGTCTCTGTTGCTGCCGATGTTGTCTCTACTTGCCGAATTGTTGCTAACGCTCTTGTTCTTTCTGCTTCAGGTATGGTGTGTGAGTACCAAACTCCTTCAGGACTGAAGTCGGGGTCGAGATCTGGTGGATGTGTCCAAGATGTGAAGTTGACGATGGCGTCGCTGTCGGCGGTGCCTTGGTCTGGAACAAAGTCAAGAACGAAGACATTGTTATTCAAGACCGCCTTGCCGATGTAGAGTCCACCTTTCCCGTGGTACAGCTTGAACTCCTGAGTGGTGCTATCTGCTTCGAAGATGAATTCCCTTCGCCATTAGTTGAATGACGCTGATAAGTTGTAACCGAGTCCTTCAGCGATTAAGACCTTCGACATTTGCAGAATAATGTTGGTTTCTCGAGATTGAAGTTGAACTATCCCTTATCGTCATGTGTGCAGGTTCTGGTTGTTGGCGACGGTGATTACGACTTCGCGTTGAAGTTGGTGTTCCTGTTGAACGAAGCGACACGAGGAGCACATGTGCTGTCCGCAGCAGCTGTCCAAGAACCAAGTGTCTTTCCCGGACGGCTCGCTTTGGGCGATGGCTGCATACGTCGGGTTGGGCTCCAGTGATTCGCGGCGAGGAGTGTTCTCGTCGAGCTGTTCTTCTGGTGAGTAGTACGGTGGTGATCCGGTGATGCAGGAGTCTCTCGTTCTTTTCATGCAGCTCACGATGTTTCTTGTACCTTGTGCAAGGTTTGTCGTCGATGACGTTGAGGACTGTACTTGATTGATGGGGTGTGCTTGTGTAGAAGCCACTTGACTGCTTGAGGGTCGAAGTTGACGTTGCGACGGCGTCGACTGCTGCTGATTCGGGCAGTGTGTGCGAGGGTGTCCTGGCGTCTTGCAGAGATGGCAGAACGGTGGTACGTACTGTTGAACTTGACGTTTGTTCTGTCGATTGTTGTTGTTATTGTAACGCCGTTGAGTGTGAAACGCGAACTCTGGTGCTGACGCTCTCTTCTTGTGTTATTCTTCGTGTAGGTCCATGTCCTGCTGTTCAGCGTGAATTTCGGCGCAGAGTGCTGCTTTGGAGATCTTCCCGTGATCTCGGAGGAGTGCTCGAGTGGAGCGCCAATGAGGACCGAGGCCAGCGATGACAACTGTCACGAAAGATTCTTCGGATATCGATCCTCCGCATCGAAGGAGTCTATCGCGCAGTCCACGACAACGGCTGATATACTCCATCCCTTTTTCGCCGAGTTTCATTTCCACTGTTGTCAGCTGAGCCATGAGACGACTTTGATTAACACTGTCTGTTGCTTGATACAGGTTCTTCAGGTGGTCGTACGCTAGCTCGGCGGAGTTGCCGTACCCTCGATAAGACCGGATGTTCTGCTGCTCGTTTGGCGATATATTTCGTAGAAGTATCGTGTACTCCATCGGCGATTGATATGTGTACTGCTGCTTGTCGTATTGTGTCCCATGTGTTGGGTATGGCAAGGACCCGTCGAAGAATCCAAGAATTTGCGCGCCCTCCATCATCAGCTCGAACTCGAATGACCAGGTATAGAAGTCTTTTCCGTCAAAGGGTGTCGATGTCTGCAGTTTTAGAACGTGTGCGAACTGTGATTGAACCTGAAGCGCGTCTAGTGTCTTCTCTTGTCCAGATGAAGGCTGTTGGTGTGGCAAGAGGCTGATGGAGCCACGTTGAGGTTCGTACGGAGCAAAGGTAGGTTGCTGCTGGTTTCCGCGCGCATAGGATGAACCGTCAAGGCTCATTGGGGTAACCCTGATGTTGTTGTCCTTGTTGTGTGATTGCGCAGGTGCTGCTTGCTGATGCTGCTCGTAGAAGAACATGAAGGAGAAAAAATTCTCCATCATGCTTGGGTCGAAGCCTGTTGTTTGATTCCCGGGAGTTTCTGTAGAATCCGCAGCTGGTCTTGTTGCTGTGCCTTCCTCTGTCTGTAGGCCAGAGGCTGGAGGTGGAGTAGGAGTAGTGCCGGGAGATCCGTTGGAGGAACTCCTCTCCTTCTGAGTTGCCATGCCTTGTGCTGTTGTAGGAGTTTGAGTAGTTGATCTTGCCTTGGAGGCTCTCATACCATGTTGGGCTGAGAAAATCCCTTAGGATCTTTTTCAAGGCTAAGACTCTGAGTAGGAATGTTGTAATTGCGGAAGCGTATAATAAGGTTACTGAACCACCTGGCACTAGTGTGTGAGAGCAAGATGGATTAATTAAAGCAAAGAGATACAAGGATATATATATATATATGATTACAAGGAATACGAAGAGGTGCGGCTAAATGTTTTTGTTGTTGTGGCTCGATACAGTGACGACTCGAGCAACTGCTCAATACCGAGTCAGTTATTTGTCCTTACTGTCGCGCTGTATTTTCTTCGAGTCAGGTCGCTGACCTTTGACATTCGCGTAACCTCCAGCTGTTACGTTTGTTGACTCGCTTGTTGCTTCACTGTAGTCTGCTTCGTTCGTGTTATTGCTTCGATACTTCAGAAGCGTCAACTATGTGTTTCCAACGAATCAGAGTACACCCCAAAAAAAACTCTGAAATTTCAGAGTAAGCTCTTAAAAAAAATCTGAACTTTCAGAGTTGCGGCCTAAAAAAAATCTGAACTTTCAGAGTAGCCCATAAAAAAAGTCTGGAAAAACAGATTTTTTTATGCAAATCAGAGAAAGTTCTCTGACTTCTGGGGGTGTGGCATGGCCTCATGCATGCCCTAGTAGGCCAGGCTGCCTTGATTCTCAAGAGTGAACCAAAACAGAACTTGGGCTTGGTAGATGTGCGTACCGTATATCTGGGTTTTGGCAATACCACGTATCGTACGGAATGTTAGGAAAAGAAGGCATAAATCACCATCTAACAGCCAGCTTTCACGTCCTTAGTGCTGCTCCACCCATTGGGCAGTGACGCCACCATCCATCTCCTAACGTATGCAAGAATCTCAATCTCCCATCCGTCTGACACACCAGTCTTCCCAATCCACCGCCACCACACCGACCAGCCTCCGCATCACAGCAGCAGCTCCAGCGGGCCCTGGCAGGCAGCGTTAGTACTGATAGCGCTGGTAATTTCCAGGAAGCAGCAGGCAGCAGCATCACGGTGGGCCGGCTGCTCTGCCACATGGCACAGCACTGCCTGCAGGTGGCGTGCGTCTCTTTCCCAGGCAAGCTCCTGAGGGGAAAAGGGGAGATAAGGCACGGGAGGAGTGGATTCTTGAGTCGACTGGCACAGCACTGCCTGCAGGTGACAAGCGTCCCTCTCTCGAGCGAGCTCCTGAAGAGGGGGGGGTGAGGGAAGGGAGTGAAGGGGAGCACGAGGGAGGCATGGAGGGTGAGTGTGAGGGAAATGATGAAGAGGAAGATGAGGTACATACGGGGGGGTTGAGGCGGGGGAGGGGGTTGAAACTGATGCATATGCCTTTGAAGTGAAATGTGTGTGGCTCTGACCCGGCCCACACTGAAGGGCTGTGGCTGACAGGGTGGGAGTGACGGGGTGGGACTGGGGGGTTGGGACTGGGGGGTTGGGACTGGGGGGTTGGGACTGGGGGGTTGGGACTGGGGGGTTGGGACTGGGGGGTTGGGACTGGGGGGTTGGGACTGGGGAGGCGGGTGGCACTGACCTGCATGGTGTGGAAGCCGTTGGCTGCTTCCTCCAACAGTGGCAGCACTGCCGGCACACTGGCTGGCAACGCTGCACAGAGTGGTGGGCGGCAGGGAAGGTTGGCAGCAGGGATGGTGGGCGGCAGTGGTTACTATAAGGTTAGCACGACTCACTACAAGACGACGGAATAGAGATGCACACACGGAAGAGAATGCGTGTATGCAGGCACAGAAAAATATTTTCGAGAAGGAGAAAGGCGACAAGTGAGTGGTGAACTCACCTACAGGTGGGAGCATGGCGAGGCGGCACTGAGCAATGAGCATGAGGGTGCGACAGCGCATGGTGAGGCCTGACTGCCCCAGCAGCACCGGCAGGCACACCCCATCCAGCAGCCACAGCGCTTGCACCACACACTCCCTGCTGCTGCTGCTCTCGCCTGCCACAGCATCACCCCCTGCACCACCGTCCCTTTTGTCATCATTCCCAGCAGCACCTTCGCCCCTAACACCACCACCAGCAGGGCTGCAAGCAGCAGGCGCCAAGGCGAGGGTGGCCTCGGCGGCAGTGAGGGTGGCGGCAGCTTGCAGCAGCAGCGCGTGCAGGCGGGCTGCCAGTGACGTGCATGCTAGGGCGTGCGGGAGCGCGGCTGCTGGTGACCCGGCTTTCTGGTAGGCATGTCCAGGGGCATGGGCAGTGGGGGGTTGAGGAGAAAGAGGAGTGAGACGGCAGGTAAGGATGCAGTAGCAGCGAATGCAGGCGGGCTGCCAGTGTCGCACATGCTAGGGCATGTGGGAGGGCCACTGCTGGTGACCTGGCTTTCTGGTAGGCATGCGCATGGGCAGTGGGGGGTTGAGGAGAAAGAGAAGTGAGATGGCGGCTCGGATGCAGCAGGCTCACTAGGGAAGCCGTTTAAGAACCCTTAGGTCGTATTCCTGGTTTCGTGTCATCAGCTGAAAATGTCGTCCGAAATTGTGGTAAGACACCACTGTAACAGTGCAGCTCGGGTCAACAAGCTGAACACGTTCTCGATTTGTCTAGTCAGAAATTTAGCTGGATACCCGGAATCGCAGCTCTCATGACTGTGTGTTGAGCTCGCCTGCTCAAACTGGCGAGCGAATACGACTGAGCACAACGTTGCACAACATTTTGAATGTAACTTTGGTCGCAAGGTGGAAATTTTCGCACTGCAGCTCCGCGAAAATAATTATGGGGTAAAACGTGGTTTCGTCCATGATGTTCGCTGAAGCTCGCCACGTCCCGAATCGGAAGACCCGAAGCTCGAGTCGGAAAACCCACATTTCGGAAAATGAATTCGGGATAACACGAACACCGGATGACACGAGGCCAAGAATACGCCCTTACCACCAGCAACCCCAGCATCTGCCCCACAACAGCCTGCTTGCCACCTGCCCCTTATGAGGTACAACACTATCACACCTGGTGCCTCAGGTGCCTGATCAGCAGCCAGGTGCCTCAGGTGCCTCACCAGGTGCCTCAGGTATCTAACCAGGTGCCTCAGGTTTCTCACCAGGTGTTCCAGGTGTCTCGCCAGGTGTCTCAGGTGTCTCACCAGGTGCCTCGGGTGGCTCACTAGGTGCCTCAGGTGTCTGACTTGCAACCAGGTGTCTCACCAGGTGCCTCAGGTGACTCCCCAGGTGCCTCAGGTGTCTCACCAGGTGTAGCTCCGCCATGAGCAGCAGGCAGCGTGCATGGTACAGCTGGCGGTTGTGGCGACAGCACGCTGTGAACAGTGCCTTGGCTGCTGATGCCGCCTGGGGGGAGGGAAAAAGGGGGGAGAGTTGTGATGAGGGTGGGGAGGACGGAATGGAAAGGGGGAAGGGAGAGGAGGGAACAATGGAAGGCTGGGAGAAGAGAAACGGCGGGGATGACAAGAGGGGAAGGAGAAGAGAGCGAGGGGGGAGAGAGGGGAACAAGCGAGGGCATTCGTGGGAAGTGTGGAAGCAAAACAATCATGGAGGGGAATATGCAGCTCTCGGAGGGCAGAAGTGGCGGGAGATAGGCAGAGGGAAGGCAAGTGAGGGAGCGGCGCAGATGCAATCGGGCACCTGGGGAAAGCGCGAGGCAGCAATGAGGGTGTGCACGTGGCGGCATGCCGCCTCCAACTCCAAATCCACCTCCGAGCCCCCCTGCCCTCTGCCCTGCCCTGCGCCGTGCTCTTCCCCGTGCGCGAGGCCGTAGCGTGTGGCAATGGCTGCGAGCTGCTCACACACGTGCAGTGCCTGGGATGTGCGGCCGCTGGGGATAGGGAGAGGAGGGAGGGAGAGATGGGGCAATGGGGTTGGGAAAGGTGGAGAGAGAAGTGGTGGGTGGCAGACAGGGCAGCATGAGAGGAGGGAGAAGCGTGGAGGCGCGGAATACGGCTGTTGAAATGCAGAAGCCGTGTTGTGTGGGAAGGCAGCAGGTGAGAAAGAAATGCATAGCTGCAAGCATAGCTGCAAGCATAGCTGCAAGCATAGCTGCAAGCATAGCTGCAACACAGTGCACCTGCGGTCTGGCCTCGTGGGTGGCTTACGTGGCAAGGCAGAGGTCATGAGTCAGCTCCAGCTCAGCAATGCGGAGGGTGGGCGAGGAGGAGAGCAGCGGATGCTGCTGCAGGCGCCACAGGAGAGGAAGGGCCGCTGATGGGAAGGGGAGGGTAAGGAGGGAAGGAGGAAGAGGGGCTAAACCCTGAACAAGGGGTTAGGGAATCATGGGTGCAGTGAGGCTGGCTGGGGTGCGCTTGTGACACTTGTACCCTCCACAGCAGGTCAATCACCTCTCTTCTCAGAAAAACGAACCACCAATCCGTTCATCTCACCGTTACCCTGCCTGGCACCACACCTGAGCACACCTGCGACCCAGCTGAGCCCACCTGAGGACTTGATCCCACCTAACCTAAGTCCACCTGAGCCCACCTGAGGCCCACCTGCGGCGCCAGAGTGTGCAGCTCTGTGTCTCAAGAGCTTGACTGCCGATGCTGCAAGGTCGTCCGCACTGCCGGAAGCAAGAGAGAGCGAGAGAAAGCGAGAGAGTGGGGGGAGCGTTGCAGAGAGTGAGGGTGTGTCGGGTGTGACGAATGGTACTTCAACGCTGAGGGGAGAGGAGATAAGTCAATGTGTGAGACGCATCGAAGCAGAGCAACTGGAGGGAGAGAGAGAGAACTGGGCCCACGGGTCCCCGCCACCCGCGCCAACAAATCCAGTCCCCGCAGGCACCGGACGAGCTGAGCGCGCCGGGGATCCCACAGGATTATGGGGCAGGAGCGCGGCGAGAGGAGCGACTGGACCAGCGGGAGGAGCAGATTGCGAGGACGACCCCGCATGGGAGCGGTGGAGAGCTTTCTCCACACCGTCCAATTTCTTCAGGACTCGCTCCATCGCGGAAGGCGCTGGACGCGCAGCCCCGCCGCGACCGTGACCCCCCCGTCGCCCACGATGCGCACGTCCACTCGCGCTCGAACGCACAGGCGACTGTGGGCGAGACAGGCCCCGCTGACGCTGGCGGTCAGGGGAACGCTCCGTGCGACGAGGAGAATAGAGCCGCTGGCGTTTCGCAAGAGGGGGAGAACGTGGTGCCAAGGACCGACGCATGGCGAGCAGGCGATCGCGGACGAGAGGAGCGGGGAGCGGGAGAACGGTGGCGATACGAGCGGTGGTCACGGGAACGGCTCCGTGACACCTTGCGTCGAGGCGATCGAGGAGACCGCGGTGATCGCGGAGACCGCAGCGGGCGCGAGTCAGCGCGACGATCGTCGCGGCGGCTCTCCCGCTTACCGTCGCGGGCCGCCGGCGAGCGATGGCGAGGCGAATGCTCCTGGTGCGCCACAGCCTCTGCGCCGGAGCGCGCGACGGACCCTGCACGCGCAGGCTCCCCCAGAGGCAAGGATCCGCCTCCGAGCAGACCCAGATCCCGACGCTGATCCTCAAAGCGCCGACAGATCTCGTCCGTGGCTGCCGGCAGAGCAACAGGTACGCTCGCGGCAGGACGTGCGGGAGGAAGTGGACGGGGAGCAGGATCAACCCCCACGGCGCGGTCACGGCCCAGAGCACCGAGGAAGTCCATCGGCCTCCGCTCAAGGCGCGCCACTGGCCCGGGACGAGCCGATGACGCCGATCTCCCAGGCACAACAGGCCGCACCAGTGGCCGCCACTCCGAGGAGCGGGCGGGGAAGCACGCGGGGAAGAGGCGGGCGTCGAGGAGCACGCGGAGCACAGCGAAGCGCAGGCCACCAAGCCCAATCTGGTTGGGGGAACCGGCGGAACGAGTCACGCGCCAGTCGTTCGTCAGGCGCGGGGCGAGAGGAGGAAGGACAGCGCAAGCAGGGAGAATTGGTGATACAAATGCAGAGGGGAGTGGCGACGATTATGTACCGTCGGATCTGAGGCAACCCGACAACCCCGACTCACCCCACGCGGAAGCGGGGGTGGAGCAGGCGCAGCTGCAGGAGATAGGATTGGGCCGCCGACAGAACCGCAGACCCCAACCCCCCCCGGACCAGGCCCTCTCGGCGTCCCAGCTGGCATCGAGGGATGATCTCTTTGAGATCGCGATGAGCTGGGACTCGAATACCCTAACAACGATCTCTCACCTGCCTATCCTCCGCCGCCTACCGCCGCAGATCCTAAGCGACTACTCCACCTGTATGCTAGCCGCCCTCCTACGGATCTCCAAGCTGCCAAACTGTGCGGGAGCGTGGCGGGTCCTCATGTTCCTGCCACGTCTAACCCTACGACTTAGCAGGAGGTCCAGCTCTAGGTGGAAGGTGCTGCGAGAACAAATGCACCTATTCAGATGTGGCCACTGGAACCTGCTGTACAGTGACTACACGGGGTCCCTGCACCAAGCCGAACCACCTCAGCACCAAAATGACCCCCTGGGAATCTGCTCACGAGTGGAGGGGCTGGTGAAACGGGGTAACCTGCGAAAAGCACTGGCAGCCCTCCAACCCTCGCCAGCAGCCCCTGCGACAACCGCGACACTCCAGCAGTTGGAATCGAAACATCCCCAACCCCAAATTGACTTGCCCGACTGGGTCCACTCCTACACAACACCCACGCAATTTTCGTGCACCACGGAAAACTTCTCAAACGTCCTTGGGGATTGCCCCAGCGGTGTTGGGGCTGGTCCATCAGGGTCAACATTTGAACATTACCGCGACCCAGCCCTAAGTAACATCGAAGTAATAGGGCACCTGCACTCCGCCGTAACCCACCTCCTCTCGACAAACCTCTCCGCCGAGGTTGCAGCACTACTCTCGCCATCCCGCCTCATTGCCTTCGCGAAACCAGGGGGGGGGGTACGCCCTATAGCGATAGGGGAATCCCTGCTCCGGCTTCGCTCGCTCCTTCTACGCGACGCCTTCACAGCTGCTGACTGATCCCCGCCTGAGCACAACGGCACTCACCAGCGGTAGGGGAGTTAGGCAGGGGGACCCCCTCGGACCCCTTCTGTTCGCGGCTTCAATCCAGCAGCACCTCAGACGCGTAGCGACAGAGCACCCCGAAGTCACGGTCCTAGCATATGCAGACGACATCACCCTGATTGGACCGGCGACAGCAACGCTAGGCGCGCTAAAGGTACTGACACCGCTGCTAGCCCAGGACGGCCTCACCTGCAACCTCAGAAAATCGTCGGCGTGGTCCTCCTTGCCGCTCGAAGGTAATGAGCTCCCCGAGGGCCTTCCCCTCACCCACGAGGGGGTACGGGTGTTAGGAAGCCGTGTGGGGTCACAGCTTCTGCGCTGACCTCGTCCGCAGTACCTTGACCGACGCGGCGGCACCCCTGGGCCCCTTAGCATCCATCCATCCACAGCATACCCTCCTGCTCTTATCTCGCTGCATCAGCCGCAGAATCGGCTACCTGCTGCGCACCACCCCAGCAGACGTCCCACCTCTTTCGGAATGGCATGCGTGGTGCGCCGAACTGCTCAACACTGCCTTAACCGCCGCCAGCATCCAACCACCCTGCCGTGAAACCGAGTTCAACTTTCTACTTTGCCAAGCAACCCTCCCAGTAGCCCTGGGTGGGCTCGGCCTCACGGACCCCACAACAGAAGCAGCACCAGCCTACCTGGCTTCGACAACAGAGGCGCTACGCCTGCTCCGCTCACTTGACCTTCCAGCAACCGCGGTGCTAGGGAGCAACAGCAACGCTCTGCAGCCGTCTGCAGCACACTCGGTCACCATCCAAGACATGGAGGGACGACTGCCGCCACTGGCATTGCAAAACCTCCGCGGGGAGCAGGAAAGCCCGTCCCAAGACCAGCTGCAGCGCGCCCTCTCCCAGGAAGTGCATGCGGCAAAAGCCGACGCCATGACGGAGGAATCACACGCAATCAGGTCTGCCCCCGAGATGGGGCACACGCTCCGCCTCGTCAGCCTGAGAGGTGAGGGAGCGGGGGCATGGCTGCAGGCCCTACCCCTGACTCCAGACCTCTGCTTTTCACCAGGGCAATTCCGAACAGCCCTGGCCTTCCGCATGGGCATCCGACAGAACGTACCTACCGTGTGCGAGTGTGGAGAGCTCGTAGCCGACTGCAGCCTCCCCAACCACCTACTCCGCTGCAGCACAGGCCCTGACAGAACGCGCACACACAACCAGCTGGCTTTCGCCGTGGCTAAAATGGCGAGGGAGGCACAGCTGGTGGTATACCTAGAGAATGCGATGTACTCACCACCAGATGACCCGAAGAAGGCAGATGTGATTGTACGCGACCCAGACAGCGGTGAGACATGGATCACAGACACGACTATCACTGACCCCGTGCTACAGAACTGTGACCCAGCAGCCCGCAAACCCCCAGGATGGGCTGCAAGGGAGGCACAGAAGAGGAAGGAACGGGACTACTACAGGCACACAGAACACGTGGTGTTCTGCGCCCTAGCCGTCGAGACCTATGGGGAAAACGCACCCCCCACGACGGCGTTCCTGAAGCTGCTGGCCACAGCAGCAGCTAGGAACCGCTTCAGGGCCAACCCCTTGGCGAAAACCGCCAAGAAAATGGCCTGCCACTTCAGCCAGCGCTGGTCAGTGGCCCTCCAGCGCTCTCAGGCGAATGCCCTGCACACCAAGGCCAGGGCAGGGATCGAGGCGGCGCACCCCCAGATGGCAGCAGACCCATGGCCGCTGCACCTAGGGGACATCCTCCACACGCTGGAGGGGTAGAGGGTCACTTAGGGGGGAGGAGGGTCAGAGGGATGGGTCAATGGGTCAGAGGGTCTAAGGGAGCCACGAGTCAAACCGTATGTTTGTACCCCCGCTGAATTAATACAAAGGACCATTTGAGAGAGAGACTGACGCATGAGTGGACTGGGAAAGGCATGAAATGAGAGGTATGCTTACGTGGCAGCATCAGAGTAGCAGAGCAGATGAAGTGCTGAGCTGGCAGTGGCCATGGTGGGGCTGACGTGGAAGCAGGGAAGGAGGGGGGAATGGAGAGAAATCAATATGCGGCACAATGGGCTTGGTGAGAAAGTGGGTGCATGCATTGCCATGTATGTCAATAGCCAAACAAACTTCACTCACTCACACCCTTCACACCACTAGCCCCATACACACAACTCATCTCCCTCGTACATCCACCACCCACTACCCACCACCCACCACCGACCACTCACCACCCATACACCTCCCATGCAGCGGCCCTCACGCCCTGGCCCGCCCCCACCAGCCGCACCACAGCAGCCGGGGGCGGGGCCAGCCTCCCCGCCGCTGCCGCTGCCGCCGCCGCTGCTGGCGCTGCCGAGCCTGTAGGCTGTGGTCCGGCAATGGTCTGGCCGGAGCTGAAGAGAGCTGCGGCGGTGGAGGCGGAGGAGAGAGGCGCTGAGAGGGCGAGGCTGGAAGAGAGGCTGAGAGCTGCCGCTGCTGCTGCTGCTGCCACGGCAGAGGAGGAGGAAGCGGAGGCGAGGTGCAGGGTGGGGAGGGAGAGAGGAGCGGAGGGGGGGAAGGCGAGGGGGGAGAGCGCGGAGGGTAGGAGGATGGCTGCGGTGCATGCGTCGTTGAATAGATGGGCGCCCAGACGCAGGTGCTGGGGCCGGTGGGGAGAGGGGAGAGGGGGGAGAAGCAGTGAAGGTTGGATGTGATGAGCAGTGAAGTTTTGAGGCGCCTCAAAGCGAGGGGGAAGGGCGCGGAGGGCAGGAGGATGGCAGCAGAGCAGGCATCGTTGAAGAGATGCGTTCCAGCCGCGGGTGTTGTGGGGAGTGGGGAGAGGGGGGGGGGGAAATGGGAAAAGGGGGGGGGAGGGGGAGCTGGATTGAGGGGGAAAGGGGAGGGAGAGGGGAAGCAGCAGTGCGAGGTTGGCCAATGGGAGAGAAACGAGAAACGGGATGGGCTGGGAGTATGGGGAAGCGGGGGAAAGCAGATGTGAGTGAGAGTGTGGTTCTTGCCTCCCTGCTGCAGTGCAAAGGTGCCTCAACTCAACGCAAGGGACTCAGGATCAGCACTGGGCGGTGAATCGCTTGCTGCACTACATCATCACACCACACCACACCACACCACACCGCATTGCATCACATCACATCATATCACTGACCTACAACTATTATCCTTCCCTAACACTCTCACGCATCCCGATGAGCAGCCCTTAGTCTTGTGGCTGTTGGAGAGATGGAGTACAATCCCACATTGACACTTGCACTTACATCCTAGTTCAGCGTAAAACTAGTCTGCTGGGTTGGTAGTTCCACACGAAACTCTCAACCAAAAGTGATCACGCAAAGACTCCCCCATCCCACCAATCGGAGGTTTCAATTCAACCAACCACGGTGGAGACTACCCCCCATTCCCTTCCATCCCATTCCTTATGTGCACAAGAGCGCCGCTAAATGACATCTCATCATGTGCATAAGAGACTTGATCTCCATGGCCTGATCGTTCCAGCTACGGGGCATCGGTGGCTGCTATTGCGGGGACAGATTATTGCAGGGCGCTCAGACAAGTACGTGTCAGTAGCATGGCCGGAGAAATCGGCAGCACCGCGCAGGAGAGTTGCAAGAAGAGCAGCAGAGACAAGCAAGGGCAGACGAGGAGAGAAGAGCAGGGAGTGGCTTACTTGGCAAACAAGGAGAGGGGATGGGTTGAAGTCGGAGGGAGGAAGAGAGAGGGAGGTGGTGGCGTGGAGTGCTCTCCCGTCCGTTACGTGCTTCTCGAAGGAGTGGAAGGGGGTGCGGATGGGCAAGGGGACGGAGAGGAGAGGAAGGAAGGGGGGATCAGAGGAAATAGGAGGAGTAGGGAAAGGGCACGTGAAAAGAGAGATGAAATCACATCAACGTAAGTGTTAAACGACTCGAGATACATGGTTACAGCATCAGCAAAAAGACGGCGCAGAAGTGTTGCTGCTTGAATGCTCCGGCAATCACGTGTCTTCAAGTCAAGACTAGATTCCTCATGCTGCCGATTTTTGAGGCGCCTCAAAAATCCCAAGGCAAGCCTTAACCCTCCTCTCAGCACAAAGCCCTCCAGCACCCCTCCTCATCACCTCGACACTGTAGCGAGTGAGCAGTAGGTGGGATGGCGAAGACATGAAGCCCAGTCAAGGGCATGTGAGATCCAAGGCACGTGAGGAAAGAAACACAACCACATCAGTGCAGAGTACCCGTTACTTCAGAGTTCTCAGAAGCCCTCCAGCAGCCCTCCTCATTACCTCGACACTGTAGCGCGTGAGCAGCAGCTGGATGGCAAAGACGAGTCGCGGCAGTCTCAGCTGGGCGGCACGCACCAGGCAGCGCTGCAGCAGCGCACACACCTGCTGCTGCACGCCGCCCGCCACTGCCGCCCCACCTCCCCCCTCCCCATCCACGCCCCCATGCGCCCCCTCCCCTCCCCCCGCAATCCCCTCGCCTCTCACCCGCCCCTTCTTCCCTCCGCTAACCCCCCCACCGCGCCACACTCCCCCCTCCAGCAGTGTTGGCTGCTGCAGCAAGCTGGGGGCACCTAGGACTGAAAGCTGGCGGGGTGTGTCTGACGTGGCAGTCTGTGATAGGAGGTGGCAGATGGCTGTGAGGGCATGCACCAAGCACACGTCATCACTTTCCTGTGTGGACAGGCACGGGTAGGAGGTGAACGATGTTTGAGGGAGGGGAAGGAGCGGGAGGGATGCAAGAGGGGATGAAGGGAAGGGACGAGGGGAAGGGAAGTGGGGTTGAAGGAGAAAGAGGGATTGGGATTGGGATTGGGAGGTGGGCAAGGTGGAGTGCTGGAGGATGCACCTTCTGCTGCACGCATGAGCAAACCCGAATTGGGTCAAACCCGAATTGGGTCAAACCCGAATTGGGTCAAACTCGAATTGGGTCAAACCCGAATTGGGTCAAACTCGAATTGGGTCAAACCCGAATTGGGTCAAACTCGAATTGGCTCAAACCCGAATTGGGTCAAACTCGAATTGGGTCAAACCCGAATTGGGTCAAACTCGAACTGTACCCCAACAGGGTCGAACCGGCTGGGGACCGGACCAGTAATTCGCCTGGCAGCTTTGGTCAAACCTTCCCTAGGTTCATTCCTAAATGAAAAGCATTAAATTGTGACAAACCTTGACATATGATGACAGAAGTGAATGAAACTCTGGGAGCACAATGGATTCGATGCAGTGCAGCCACTGCGAGTCAAACCGCCAGGATTGGAAACAAGACGGGGTTCGCTTGCACTGTGCTCATATCTACCATCTTATCATTCGGCGAATCTGCTCTCTGCTGCCATGTGGCAGCCAAGGCACATGGCATGAGATGCTACCATGCTATACCAAGGCACACGGGACTGCACCAGTTTTTTGTTGACAAAAAATGTCTATTTCTTGCCGACTAAAGAATTGAATCCATGTTCTTTCATCCCACACCATACCTTGCTGTGCCTCATCTCACCTGCTGTGCCATGTGCACTGTCTCGATCAGGGCCTGGCATGGTGGGGTGCAGGGGCCGTGTGAACGGGTGGACGAGATGAATGAAAGAAAGGGAGGCTTAGGGCATGAGGTGGAAGCAGGAAAGAACTGGAGTGATGGCAGAGAATGCAGCAGGAAGAAGACACTTGAGGCACGGCACAAGGTGAGGAGAAAACAATCAGTAAAGGCTAGTCAATGAATGAGCAAGGGCACCCGGCCGGCCCAGGTGGGGCTGCCCCTGGCGTGTCAGCTTGATCCACTTGGACATGGCATGAAGCGCACGCGTCACCGCTGCCCAGGACAAGGCCCTTCACGAGTCGCAGGTTCTTGACGAGCCGGCCCCGACCCCAGCCCCAGTGTTTCGAAGGTATTTTGAACTGGGGTGTCAGCGCGCAACCCAAGACAGACCCTGAAGCCCTTCCAGGATCCATGGGTTGTCCCGTAACCAGCCTGCTGCACGCAAACCGGCAGAGCTATCGGGCTGAATAGTTTTTAAGATGGGCCAGCCCCACCTGGGCCGGTCCTGGCCCCACCATATGCTCATGCCACCTGCTGCATGCGACACACATACCACCATGGCGTGCTGCATGCACCACACACACACGCACACACATATCCCCATCGCATGGAACACATACCCCCATGGCGTGCTGCACATGCCCGTAGCGGGCATGCATGCCCCCCTCCACCAGCAGCCCTGCCTGGAACCGCCCCGCCCACCAGTCCGATGCCGCCCGGCCGCCCACCGCTGCCATGCCCGCGCTGCGTGGGCGAGAGAGGGGGGAGAGGTGGAAGGAAGAGCTGGCTTTTGAGTTGACTAAAAAAAGCCACCAGTCCCACGCTTCCCTCCTGCCCACTGCTGCCATGCCCGCACTGCGTGGGCGAGCGAGGGGGAAGCGGGGGGGGAAGAGGGAGGGGGAAGAGTTGGGGTGGAGAGCTGACTTTTGAGTCGACTCAAACCCCACCAGTCAAATTGTGCCCGCCCAACCACCGCTGCCATTCCTGCACTGAGCTGGCGAGTAAGTTGGGGAGGTCGGGGAAGAGGGAGCGGGGAGAGGCGAGCAGGGGTGGGTAAGGGGTGAGGGAGGGGAGTGGAGGCTGCTTATGAGAGCCATTCTCACTTGCATGCATCCTCAGCTCAGAGTCAGCTATGCTGAAATCACTTTTGAGAACTCTGAAAAATCATGCTCACTTGCATGCATCCTCAGCTCAGACTCATGCATCTGCTGCAACCTTGTCCCACATGTTCCCTCGCCCACCCAATCCTGCCCCTGTCTGCTGAACAGAATCCCTTTGAGGCACCTAAACCCCCTTCCCCACACACACAACTCTCTGCAGCAACATGCTCAGGGAATGAAGTGCGGATCAAAGAGCAGACGAAGGTGAAACTCAGTTCTACCTCCTAACCTTCCAGTTTCGGCTCTTCTTCTCGATGAATGAAGATCCATCCCATTGAACATCTCTTTCCAGATCCCGTGAGGAGCTCCGGCCCAGCCCTTTATGACACGAAATTCGGGCCTGCCCCGAGACAAACTAGCTCAGATTCGAGCTGCTTGGGCGGTCTACCAGACAAGCTCCACTCAGTCCCAGGCCAGCACGAATTCGGCCCTTGCTAGTGTCTGGTTCCCTCACTCCATACTCACACGGGCCCCTAAATCATGTGCACGAGATAACAAACCCAAGCCCATCCATCCCATGCATTCCATGCGTTCCATTCATGTGCCTGCCGTGCACGCATCACATGGCATCACACGCATCACATGGCATCACACGCATCACATCGCATCACACGCATCACATGGCATCACACGCATCACATGGCATAATACGCATCACGGATCCCAACCGAACCCCGTGGGCACCTGTAGTCAAAGTAGCGGTGCAGTGAGGAGAGGGAGTCGGAGAGATGGCGCGAGGAGAGTGACTCATGATGCTGCCACAGATGCACCTGATGCCATGCACACATGTGATGCCATGTGATGCCATGTGATGCCATGTGATGCCGTGCGATGACATGTGATGCCATGTGATGCCATGTGATGCCGTGCGATGCCATGTGATGCCATGTGATGACAGGTGATGCCATGTGATGCCATGTGATGCCATGTGATGCCAGGTGATGCCATGTGATGCCGTGCGATGACATGTGATGCCATGTGATGCCATGTGATGCCGTGCGATGACATGTGATGCCATGTGATGCCATGTGATGCCGTGCGATGCCATGTGATGCCATGTGATGACAGGTGATGCCATGTGATGCCATGTGATGCCATGTGATGCCAGGTGATGCCATGTGATGCCAGGTGATGCCATGTGATGCCATGTGATGCCATGTGATGCCAGGTGATGCCATGTGATGCCACGTGATACCATGTGATGCCATGTGATGCCATAAGATGCCAGGTGATGCCAGGTGATGCCATGTGATGCCATGTGATGCCAGGTGATGCCAGGTGATGCCACGTGATACCATGTGATGCCATGTGATGCCATAAGATGCCAGGTGATGCCAGGTGATGCCAGGTGATACCATGTGATGCCATGTGATGCCATAAGATGCCAGGTGATGCCAGGTGATGCCAGGTGATGCCATGTGATGCCATGTGATGCCAGGTGATGCCATGTGATGCCATGTGATGCCATGTGATGCCATGTGATGCCAGGTGATGCCATGTGATGCCACGTGATACCATGTGATGCCATGTGATGCCATAAGATGCCAGGTGATGCCAGGTGATGCCATGTGATGCCATGTGATGCCAGGTGATGCCAGGTGATGCCACGTGATACCATGTGATGCCATGTGATGCCATAAGATGCCAGGTGATGCCAGGTGATGCCAGGTGATACCATGTGATGCCATGTGATGCCATAAGATGCCAGGTGATGCCAGGTGATGCCAGGTGATGCCATGTGATGCCAGGTGATGCCATGTGATGCCATGTGATGCCATAAGATGCCAGGTGATGCCAGGTGATGCCAGGTGATGCCAGGTGATGCCATGTGATGCCATAAGATGCCAGGTGATGCCAGGTGATGCCAGGTGATACCATGTGATGCCATGTGATGCCATAAGATGCCAGGTGATGCCAGGTGATGCCAGGTGATGCCATGTGATGCCAGGTGATGCCATGTGATGCCATGTGATGCCATAAGATGCCAGGTGATGCCAGGTGATGCCAGGTGATGCCATGTGATGCCATAAGATGCCAGGTGATGCCAGGTGATGCCATGTGATGCCATGTGATGCCAGGTGATGCCAGGTGATGCCAGGTGATACCATGTGATGCCATGTGATGCCATAAGATGCCAGGTGATGCCAGGTGATGCCAGGTGATGCCATGTGATGCCAGGTGATGCCATGTGATGCCATGTGATGCCATAAGATGCCAGGTGATGCCAGGTGATGCCAGGTGATGCCAGGTGATGCCATGTGATGCCATAAGATGCCAGGTGATGCCAGGTGATGCCAGGTGATACCATGTGATGCCATGTGATGCCATAAGATGCCAGGTGATGCCAGGTGATGCCAGGTGATGCCATGTGATGCCAGGTGATGCCATGTGATGCCATGTGATGCCATAAGATGCCAGGTGATGCCAGGTGATGCCAGGTGATGCCATGTGATGCCATAAGATGCCAGGTGATGCCAGGTGATGCCAGGTGATACCATGTGATGCCATGTGATGCCATAAGATGCCAGGTGATGCCAGGTGATGCCAGGTGATGCCATGTGATGCCAGGTGATGCCATGTGATGCCATGTGATGCCAGGTGATGCCATGTGATGCCAGGTGATGCCAGGTGATGCCATGTGATGCCATAAGATGCCAGGTGATGCCAGTTGATGCCATGTGATGCCATGTGATGCCAGGTGATGCCAGGTGATGCCAGGTGATGCCATGTGATGCCATGTGATGCCACAAGATGCCAGGTGATGCCAGGTGATGCCAGGTGATGCCAGGTGATGCCATGTGATGCCATAAGATGCCAGGTGATGCCAGGTGATGCCAGGTGATACCATGTGATGCCATGTGATGCCATAAGATGCCAGGTGATGCCAGGTGATGCCAGGTGATGCCATGTGATGCCAGGTGATGCCATGTGATGCCATGTGATGCCAGGTGATGCCATGTGATGCCAGGTGATGCCAGGTGATGCCATGTGATGCCATAAGATGCCAGGTGATGCCAGGTGATGCCATGTGATGCCATGTGATGCCAGGTGATGCCAGGTGATGCCAGGTGATGCCATGTGATGCCATGTGATGCCATAAGATGCCAGGTGATGCCAGGTGATGCCAGGTGATGCCAGGTGATGCCATGTGATGCCATAAGATGCCAGGTGATGCCAGGTGATGCCAGGTGATACCATGTGATGCCATGTGATGCCATAAGATGCCAGGTGATGCCAGGTGATGCCAGGTGATGCCATGTGATGCCAGGTGATGCCATGTGATGCCATGTGATGCCAGGTGATGCCATGTGATGCCAGGTGATGCCAGGTGATGCCATGTGATGCCATAAGATGCCAGGTCATGCCAGTTGATGCCATGTGATGCCATGTGATGCCAGGTGATGCCAGGTGATGCCAGGTGATGCCATGTGATGCCATGTGATGCCATAAGATGCCAGGTGATGCCAGGTGATGCCAGGTGATGCCAGGTGATGCCATGTGATGCCATAAGATGCCAGGTGATGCCAGGTGATGCCAGGTGATACCATGTGATGCCATGTGATGCCATAAGATGCCAGGTGATGCCAGGTGATGCCAGGTGATGCCATGTGATGCCAGGTGATGCCATGTGATGCCATGTGATGCCATAAGATGCCAGGTGATGCCAGGTGATGCCAGGTGATGCCATGTGATGCCATAAGATGCCAGGTGATGCCAGGTGATGCCAGGTGATACCATGTGATGCCATGTGATGCCATAAGATGCCAGGTGATGCCAGGTGATGCCAGGTGATGCCATGTGATGCCAGGTGATGCCATGTGATGCCATGTGATGCCATAAGATGCCAGGTGATGCCAGGTGATGCCAGGTGATGCCAGGTGATGCCATGTGATGCCATAAGATGCCAGGTGATGCCAGGTGATGCCAGGTGATACCATGTGATGCCATGTGATGCCATAAGATGCCAGGTGATGCCAGGTGATGCCAGGTGATGCCATGTGATGCCAGGTGATGCCATGTGATGCCAGGTGATGCCAGGTGATGCCATGTGATGCCATGTGATGCCATGTGATGCCATGTGATGCCATGTGATGCCATGTGATGCCATGTGATGCCAGGTGATACCATGTGATGCCATGTGATGCCATGCGATGCCAGGTGATGCCAGGTGATGCCAGGTGATGCCATGTGATGCCAGGTGATGCCATGTGATGCCATGTGATGCCATAAGATGCCAGGTGATGCCAGGTGATGCCAGGTGATGCCAGGTGATGCCATGTGATGCCATAAGATGCCAGGTGATGCCAGATGATGCCAGGTGATACCATGTGATGCCATGTGATGCCATAAGATGCCAGGTGATGCCAGGTGATGCCAGGTGATGCCATGTGATGCCAGGTGATGCCATGTGATGCCATGTGATGCCAGGTGATGCCATGTGATGCCAGGTGATGCCAGGTGATGCCATGTGATGCCATAAGATGCCAGGCGATGCCAGTTGATGCCATGTGATGCCATGTGATGCCAGGTGATGCCAGGTGATGCCATGTGATGCCATGTGATGCCATGCGATGCCATGCGATGCCAGGTGATGCCAGGTGATGCCAGGTGATACCATGTGATGCCATGTGATGCCATGCGATGCCAGGTGATGCCAGGTGATGCCAGGTGATGCCATGTGATGCCAGGTGATGCCATGTGATGCCATGTGATGCCATAAGATGCCAGGTGATGCCAGGTGATGCCAGGTGATGCCATGTGATGCCATGTGATGCCATAAGATGCCAGGTGATGCCAGGTGATGCCAGGTGATACCATGTGATGCCATGTGATGCCATAAGATGCCAGGTGATGCCAGGTGATGCCAGGTGATGCCATGTGATGCCAGGTGATGCCATGTGATGCCATGTGATGCCAGGTGATGCCATGTGATGCCAGGTGATGCCAGGTGATGCCATGTGATGCCATAAGATGCCAGGCGATGCCAGTTGATGCCATGTGATGCCATGTGATGCCAGGTGATGCCAGGTGATGCCAGGTGATGCCATGTGATGCCATGTGATGCCACAAGATGCCAGGTGATGCCAGGTGATGCCAGGTGATGCCAGGTGATGCCATGTGATGCCATAAGATGCCAGGTGATGCCAGGTGATGCCAGGTGATACCATGTGATGCCATGTGATGCCATAAGATGCCAGGTGATGCCAGGTGATGCCAGGTGATGCCATGTGATGCCAGGTGATGCCATGTGATGCCATGTGATGCCATGTGATGCCATGTGATGCCAGGTGATGCCAGGTGATGCCATGTGATGCCATGTGATGCCAGGTGATGCCATGTGATGCCATGTGATGCCATGTGATGCCATGCGATGCCATGTGATGCCATGTGATGCCATGCGATGCCATGTGATACCATGTGATGCCATGCGATGCCATGTGATGCCATGTGATGCCATGTGATGCCATGTGATGCCATGTGATGCCATGTGATGCCATGTGATGCCATGTGATGCCATGCGATGCCATGTGATGCCATGTGATGCCATGTGATGCCATGTGATGCCATGTGATGCCATGTGATGCCATGTGATGCCATGTGATGCCATGTGATGCCATGTGATGCCATGTGATGCCATGTGATGCCATGTGATGCCATGTGATACCATGTGATGCCATGCGATGCCATGTGATGCCATGTGATGCCATGTGATGCCATGTGATGCCATGTGATGCCATGTGATGCCATGTGATGCCATGTGATGCCATGTGATGCCATGTGATGCCATGTGATGCCATGTGATACCATGTGATGCCATGTGATGCCATGTGATGCCATGTGATGCCATGTGATGCCATGTGATGCCATGCGATGCCATGTGATGCCATGTGATGCCATGTGATGCCATGTGATGCCATGTGATGCCATGTGATGCCATGTGATGCCATGTGATGCCATGTGATGCCAGGTGATGCCAGGTGATGCCATGTGATGCCATGTGATGCCAGGTGATGCCAGGTGATGCCATGTGATGCCATGTGATGCCATGTGATGCCATGTGATGCCATGTGATGCCATGTGATGCCATGTGATGCCATGTGATGCCATGCGATGCCATGTGATGCCAGGTGATGCCAGGTGATGCCAGGTGATGCCAGGTGATACCATGTGATGCCATGTGATGCCATGTGATGCCATGTGATGCCAGGTGATGCCAGGTGATGCCATGTGATGCCATGTGATGCCAGGTGATGCCATGTGATGCCATGTGATGCCATGTGATGCCATGCGATGCCATGTGATGCCATGCGATGCCATGCGATGCCATGTGATACCATGTGATGCCATGCGATGCCATGTGATGCCATGTGATGCCATGTGATGCCATGTGATGCCATGTGATGCCATGTGATGCCATGTGATGCCATGTGATGCCATGTGATGCCATGTGATGCCATGTGATGCCATGTGATGCCATGTGATGCCATGTGATGCCATGTGATGCCATGTGATGCCATGTGATGCCATGTGATGCCATGTGATGCCATGTGATGCCATGTGATACCATGTGATGCCATGCGATGCCATGTGATGCCATGTGATGCCATGTGATGCCATGTGATGCCATGTGATGCCATGTGATGCCATGTGATGCCATGTGATGCCATGTGATGCCATGTGATGCCATGTGATGCCATGTGATACCATGTGATGCCATGTGATGCCATGTGATGCCATGTGATGCCATGTGATGCCATGTGATGCCATGCGATGCCATGTGATGCCATGTGATGCCAGGTGATGCCATGTGATGCCAGGTGATGCCATGTGATGCCATGTGATGCCAGGTGATGCCATGTGATGCCAGGTGATGCCAGGTGATGCCATGTGATGCCATAAGATGCCAGGTCATGCCAGTTGATGCCATGTGATGCCATGTGATGCCAGGTGATGCCAGGTGATGCCAGGTGATGCCATGTGATGCCATGTGATGCCATAAGATGCCAGGTGATGCCAGGTGATGCCAGGTGATGCCAGGTGATGCCATGTGATGCCATAAGATGCCAGGTGATGCCAGGTGATGCCAGGTGATACCATGTGATGCCATGTGATGCCATAAGATGCCAGGTGATGCCAGGTGATGCCAGGTGATGCCATGTGATGCCAGGTGATGCCATGTGATGCCATGTGATGCCATAAGATGCCAGGTGATGCCAGGTGATGCCAGGTGATGCCATGTGATGCCATAAGATGCCAGGTGATGCCAGGTGATGCCAGGTGATACCATGTGATGCCATGTGATGCCATAAGATGCCAGGTGATGCCAGGTGATGCCAGGTGATGCCATGTGATGCCAGGTGATGCCATGTGATGCCATGTGATGCCATAAGATGCCAGGTGATGCCAGGTGATGCCAGGTGATGCCAGGTGATGCCATGTGATGCCATAAGATGCCAGGTGATGCCAGGTGATGCCAGGTGATACCATGTGATGCCATGTGATGCCATAAGATGCCAGGTGATGCCAGGTGATGCCAGGTGATGCCATGTGATGCCAGGTGATGCCATGTGATGCCAGGTGATGCCAGGTGATGCCATGTGATGCCATGTGATGCCATGTGATGCCATGTGATGCCATGTGATGCCATGTGATGCCATGTGATGCCAGGTGATACCATGTGATGCCATGTGATGCCATGCGATGCCAGGTGATGCCAGGTGATGCCAGGTGATGCCATGTGATGCCAGGTGATGCCATGTGATGCCATGTGATGCCATAAGATGCCAGGTGATGCCAGGTGATGCCAGGTGATGCCAGGTGATGCCATGTGATGCCATAAGATGCCAGGTGATGCCAGGTGATGCCAGGTGATACCATGTGATGCCATGTGATGCCATAAGATGCCAGGTGATGCCAGGTGATGCCAGGTGATGCCATGTGATGCCAGGTGATGCCATGTGATGCCATGTGATGCCAGGTGATGCCATGTGATGCCAGGTGATGCCAGGTGATGCCATGTGATGCCATAAGATGCCAGGCGATGCCAGTTGATGCCATGTGATGCCATGTGATGCCAGGTGATGCCAGGTGATGCCATGTGATGCCATGTGATGCCATGCGATGCCATGCGATGCCAGGTGATGCCAGGTGATGCCAGGTGATACCATGTGATGCCATGTGATGCCATGCGATGCCAGGTGATGCCAGGTGATGCCAGGTGATGCCATGTGATGCCAGGTGATGCCATGTGATGCCATGTGATGCCATAAGATGCCAGGTGATGCCAGGTGATGCCAGGTGATGCCATGTGATGCCATGTGATGCCATAAGATGCCAGGTGATGCCAGGTGATGCCAGGTGATACCATGTGATGCCATGTGATGCCATAAGATGCCAGGTGATGCCAGGTGATGCCAGGTGATGCCATGTGATGCCAGGTGATGCCATGTGATGCCATGTGATGCCAGGTGATGCCATGTGATGCCAGGTGATGCCAGGTGATGCCATGTGATGCCATAAGATGCCAGGCGATGCCAGTTGATGCCATGTGATGCCATGTGATGCCAGGTGATGCCAGGTGATGCCAGGTGATGCCATGTGATGCCATGTGATGCCACAAGATGCCAGGTGATGCCAGGTGATGCCAGGTGATGCCAGGTGATGCCATGTGATGCCATAAGATGCCAGGTGATGCCAGGTGATGCCAGGTGATACCATGTGATGCCATGTGATGCCATAAGATGCCAGGTGATGCCAGGTGATGCCAGGTGATGCCATGTGATGCCAGGTGATGCCATGTGATGCCATGTGATGCCATGTGATGCCATGTGATGCCAGGTGATGCCAGGTGATGCCATGTGATGCCATGTGATGCCAGGTGATGCCATGTGATGCCATGTGATGCCATGTGATGCCATGCGATGCCATGTGATGCCATGTGATGCCATGCGATGCCATGTGATACCATGTGATGCCATGCGATGCCATGTGATGCCATGTGATGCCATGTGATGCCATGTGATGCCATGTGATGCCATGTGATGCCATGTGATGCCATGCGATGCCATGTGATGCCATGTGATGCCATGTGATGCCATGTGATGCCATGTGATGCCATGTGATGCCATGTGATGCCATGTGATGCCATGTGATGCCATGTGATGCCATGTGATGCCATGTGATGCCATGTGATGCCATGTGATACCATGTGATGCCATGCGATGCCATGTGATGCCATGTGATGCCATGTGATGCCATGTGATGCCATGTGATGCCATGTGATGCCATGTGATGCCATGTGATGCCATGTGATGCCATGTGATGCCATGTGATGCCATGTGATACCATGTGATGCCATGTGATGCCATGTGATGCCATGTGATGCCATGTGATGCCATGTGATGCCATGCGATGCCATGTGATGCCATGTGATGCCATGTGATGCCATGTGATGCCATGTGATGCCATGTGATGCCATGTGATGCCATGTGATGCCATGTGATGCCAAACAATGCCATGAAGGAAGTGGCGCATTTGGGAACAGATGTGCTCGAGAGTTGAACATAAGATGGGTATTGGATAAGAGGCTTTTATTGCAACTCATATGGATGAGCCAATGTGCGCAGGTCGACTTTTGAGTCGACTCAAAAGTGCACCTTTGGTGGCAGGTCATGGGCATGAGCCAGTGCGCTCTGGTCGTCCGCATGTGCATCATCCACTGCGCCACCGCTCTCCTCTTCTTGCTGTTCTTCCTCGGTCATTGGACACACCGCTGCTGTCCCCCGTCTGTTGCTCACATGGGATGGTGAGAGTGACAGAGGGAGGAGATAGAGGGTAGAGCAGGAAAAAAAGGGGGAGGAGAGAGGTTCGGCACGAAGCGAGACTCGACTCTCGCTCACTCGCATCATCTCCTCACATACTCGCACCCTCTCTCTGGAGCATGAACTGGGAACCAAACCGGTTTGCCCAACTGACCCCTGTCCTTTTTCTTTTCCCTGCTGATTCGAGTCTAACCGGCCGAGCCTGTTTGAGCCGCGCCTACCATGCTGCGGCAAACCGGCTACGATTCCACGCGACACCCGTGCGACCCGAGCCGGGCAGGTTCAGACCTAGGGCTTAAAGAGGCATGTTGAAAGCTATTTTCGAGTGCTAATTTCCGTACAAAGTAAAGAAACTATTAAAATTAGTGATTGTAATAGATGGTGGTGGTCCAAACCCAAGAACGTAGTAGTGCCCAATCTATCCTCACCTGCTTGCCTCCTCTATCCGCCCATCAAGGTACTCCGCCAGACGCCCCGCCTCCCGCAGGAACTGCTTTTGCATGCCACCGCCTCCCCTCTGCTTCCGTCTCCCTCTTCCCCGCCCTTCTCCACTCCCCCGCCCCTCCTCCCCTGCCTCGCCCTCCACCCTCACCATCCCGCCACTGCTCCTTCTCCCCGCTCCCCCGCCCCACAATCCCCCATCATCCCCGTCTGCTTGCATCAGCGCGACATCCCCCTGCCCTCCCCCTCTCCCCCCTCGCCCCAGCACCTCCCGCTCGAACTCCTCCTCCCATGCTGTCCTGTCCTCCCCCACCCTCGCCCCCGCCCCTGCCCTTGCTCCTCCCCCACCCCCTCCACCATCCCACGCTATCCCCCCTGCTTCTTCCCTGCTGCTCTCATGTGTGCCCTCATAGGTCGTTCTTCTGCGGTGCGTGACTGTATCGAAGGCAAGTGGTTCCCCTCCCTCTATGCCCACCCCCACGTCTACGTCCATTTCCTCCCCCCCATCACTCCCCACCTCCCCTGACCCCCACTCCCCATGAGATGCCTCCCCTGTGCTCTCCCGCCTGCCCGCCGCCTGCTCATCCATGCTCCCCGTGCTGGCAGTGCTGCCCATACAGCCCGCGTGGTGCAGGTACTCGTGAATGTCGCCCAGCACATCACACACCGCCTGCCATGTGCCGTGTGCAAGGGAAAGGTATTGGTTACATCATGTGCCTCTGCTTATCCGTGCTGCCAGTGCTGCCACAGCAGCCCGCATCGCATGGTACAGGTACCACATCATACACCGCCTGCCATGTGCCATATGCAACGCACCGTGCGCCATGCACCATATGCCATGCACCATGCGCCATTTGCCACGCACCATGCGTTGTGTGCCATGCGCCATATGCCATATGCCATGCGCCATGTGGCATGCGCCTTGCGCTGTGTGCCATGTGCCATGCGCCATGTGCCATGTGGCATGCACCATGCACCATGCGCCATGTGCCATGCATGCCATGTGCAAGGGAACAGTGATGGTTAGCTCATGTGCCTCAGTGGAATGCACTGTGGATTCGTGCAAGTTGCATGTGCGCATGAGTGCACGTGCGTATGTGCACATGCGTGCATGTCTGCATGGGTGCATGGGTGCATGGGTGCATGGGTGCATGTGTGCATGGGTGCATGGGTGCATGGGTGCATGGGTGCACCTGGAAGGGCAGGTGGTGGAAGGAGAGCAGGAGAGAGCGCAGGAAGAGGCCGAGAGCACTGCCGCGGGTGACAGGCTGGCAGGCGGGCGATGCTGCTGCTGCTGCCCGGTGGCGCGGCGGGGAGGTGCTGCGCGCCACACACGCTGCAGCATGGTCGTGAGGGGGAGAGGTGCGGGAGAGGTAGGGCGTGGGGACAGGGCAGGTATGGGAGATGCAGGGCAGGTATGGGAGATGCAGGGCAGGTATGGGAGATGCAGGGCAGGTATGGGAGATGCAGGGCAGGTATGGGAGATGCAGGGCAGGTATGGGAGATGCAGGGCAGGTATGGGAGATGCAGGGCAGGTATGGGAGATGCAGGGCAGGTATGTGGCAGGGCGTGGGACTTGGCAGCACTGTTCGTGTGTGCTCCATGTATGCACCAGGCCATGCATGCACCCGGCCATGCATGCACCCGGCCATGCATGCACCAGGCCATGCATGTGAAGTGAACATTCAAGTGCACTGATCTGTGCCCCTCACAATGCCCCACTCACAGTGCCCCACTCACAGTGCCCCACTCAAAATGCCCCACTCACAGTGCACAGTCATGGCTCCTTCTTGGGACTCACAGTGCAGGGAGGCGAAGAGGGAGAAGAGGTCATCTGGGGACTGCAGCGCCTGTAGCTGCCGCACCAGCACCCCCCCCACATCACTCCACCCCTCCTCCCCTTCCTCCACTTCCGCTGCCGCCCCCTCAACTCGTGCCCCTGCATCCCTGCGCCGCTTTTCCCCCTCTCTCCCCCCCCTCTTGCCTGCCTCCGCCTCTCCCCCAGCCGTTCCTCCCCCCACTTCCGCTGCCAGTCGCAGCAGCAGCGCGCTCAGAGGCGGCTCGTGCCACGAGTGCACCGCCTGGGTGGGTGGGATGCGGAAATTGGGGGTGATGGGGTGATGAGGGATGGAGCAGAGGACAGAGCGTTAAGAATAGATGAATGGAGCCGGCAGGGAGAACGGTGCAAAGAGGGGCGTGGAGCAACGGTGCCAGCGGCGGAAATGGTGCCGGCGAGGGGGATGGGTGCAGCGGGTGGAGGCGGAGAAGGATGATGGAGAGGCAATGAGATAAAGGACACAGGAGACGATAGGATTGGGAGGGGAAGGGGACACTGTGCAGTACAGGAGGAGCAGACAGAAAGGGAATAGAGGGGCGGAGGAGGACAATGGGCAACTTGTCCTTCCAATATCCCCCCAACCTGCCACTGCCACCCTTCAGCTTGCCACCTCCTGCCGGACATTTGGGGCGGATGATGACAATATGTGAGCACGCATGCATGCATGCTACCCTTTCCTGCCTGGTTTCTGTCCTCTATCTCGCCTCTCAGCGTCGGCCACCGCACTGCACCGTTGGATCCACTGCACCGTTGGATCCACTGCACCGTTGGATCCCTGCCCCCCTTTTGCTCCAGCCCAACCACTGTATTCACCCTCCCCATCGCCCCATTCCCCACCGCGCTGCCACTGTGCTGCCACTTCGCTGCCACTGCTCCGCGCATCCGCCTAATAGCCCTGCAGCTACCGCCGCCCACAGCACAGCAACTTGCCCGCCCGCAAGAACGCACATTTTCCCCCAGCAGCGCAACTTTGTCCCGAGCAACGCACGTTTCTTCCCCAACAGCGCAACCCACCCACCAGCAGCGCACCATCCCCCCCCCCCATCAGCGCACCTCTTCTCCGCGAGCGCCTCACCCTGGTCTCGCGCAGCAGGAAGAGCGCCAGCCGCTGCCGCACGCGGCGGGGCGGCGGGGAAGGCGGGGAGGCACGCGCGCGGGGGTCGTCAGACAGCCCGGGCTCGGCGGAGTGCGGCGGGCACGCGAGGAGGCGCAGCAGCAGCGCGAGCGCCACTCGGTGCGGCGTCACGCTCGCCGCTGACGTCACGACGGCGGCGGGCGACGCGTCGCGAGGCGGTGCGGAGGGAGGCATGGCGACGCGTGGACCCGACGTGCGCGTCGCAGCGAGGCGCGTAGCTGGCTATGGCGCTGTCTTTAAGGAATGTCGCGATGATGCGTGCAGATCGTTGAACAGGATTTGATTGCGAAATTCCTAGTATACATTGGGCATGTCTTGCTTCTGATCATCACACGCCACGCCACAATACGGGCAACAAGTGGGGATGCGGTTCAGTATGGTCTCCTGACAATGAATCTCTCAACACTCTCCACCAGGGCTCTCGTTATCAGGGTAAAATACCCTTTTTGCACTGACTGGCGGCCGCTTTTTTTCAGTTACCCTTTCCCAGGCAGGGTAGTGGGATTTTTACCCTAGGCCATTAAGTGTAAATTTTTTTTTACCCTTTGAAATACAGCGTGCCTCAAAATTTTCCATGACTGTACAGGGTACTTTTCCAGTTACACTGATACGGATTTCTTGCAAGCGAGGATTTCAAACCTTAACAGAATGCGAAACGGACAACAAGACCAACACTAAAAAAAAACAATATCACCCCCAGGTGGAGTCACGCGAATTTCCACGCGTCCTGCCGCGAAAGTACCACATTGGTGGAACTGGCAGCCACCGTGCCAGCGCAACACGGAATCAAGGCCAGAGCAGCATTTGACAACTGCCAGACTTGTCTAGTAGCGCGCCGACAGGACAGCGGGGCTGCCATCCTCCTTTCGTGCTGAACAGGGCACCTCCTGGCAGCCACAAGTGACCACCGTGAGCCATGCAATTACGCGCTCCGGGGTCATCACGGGTGTTGGAGGAGGGGGTCGTTATCCCAAGAATACCCCATCTTTCTCATCCTTCTCATACCCTCGGTGTGAGAACCACCTACTCGGAGGTCTCTCACATGTGGTAGTCATGCCTGCCGAGCAAACTCCTCAATCTCCCGCGGTAGTGCGTAATGGCCTTTCTGTGCTGGGAGTTATTCCTCCCCCTGCTGAGACCTACAGCGTGCCCATCTCGCCGTTGCCACCACCCGCTTCTCCCGTGCGTAGTGTGGGTATTGTATACCCGTTCGAGCCGCCGTCGACTCCTGCTGACTGGGAGCCGCACCCGTCAATTGTTCTCGTGCCAGGCGGTGGTGAAGGGTCGTCTAGACCCTCCGCGGGTTCACCGTCCACTGTGAACAGCACCCCGGGGAAACGCCTGCGTGTGGGAGCGAAGTACACGCAGCAGCGGCTATGGGGAGCCCCGCCACCCCGAAAAGAAGCTTCACCGCAACGTCCAGTAGCGACCCAAGACGAGGCGCCCGCTAAAACTACCGGTGACGTTCTCTACGAGACCATAAAGGATCGCTTTGAGACGGAGCGGAAAGGTAAATTCAAGTGGTTGCGTCTTATTCGGATGCCTAACGGAGAAGCAAAACTCAAGTGTGACATCTGTGTGCAGCATGGCGACCCCGCAGCTCACACTAGCTACGGTGTGAGAGGTGAAGGTGGCCGCGACCTGCAGATAGGAAGCATCCGGGCCCATTCCTCAACACGAGCCCACAAGAGCGCAGTCAAGAACCAAGAAGAAGCTGCAGCTGAGAAGGAGAAACAGGCGAAACTAAATCGGTGGCAGACAACTGACGCGTCTACGCGTCACATCATTCGCGTGCTTCATATTGCGCTTTTTATCTGCAGGGCGGATGCACCGATCTCGATGTTCATCCCGCTCTGCTGGTTCTTGGCAAAGGAAGGCCTTCCAGACCTTCCGAACGGTGGCGGATATGGCGCCTACTACACTGAGTAAGCGCATGTTATTTTAACGGTAGCCACGGGTGATATTCACATATACTGATGTTGTTATCTGTTGTTATGTGCAGATATGGCTTCAGAGAGAATCTCCAGGCCATCTCAACGTACCTACAAGAACTGCAACGATCGCACTTGCTGGAGTCGCCTTGGATTGGCTTGTCCCTGGACGAGAGCACAGACCGAATCCACGGCAAACATCTAATCGTTTACGCTACTTTTTTCCGTGGCACGGGTGTGGTCAACGAGTTCATAACGCTCATCACTGTTGACCATGCTGATGCAGCCTCTCTGACCTCTGTGTCAAACATATATGCTTAGTTATATCTAGGCTTAGTTTATGTGTTTATAGTTGTCTAGGCTATAGTGGGTTTAGCCTTAGGGGGTACAAATTTCTCTCGACATTCTACTTGTACCCCTTCCCCTCTTCTTAGTCCATCATTCTCGCCTACTATTCTCACGTGGTATTAAGAGCAATTAGTCCTAGGACCTAATGTTAATGGGCCCACCACCTACTGCCCTGCTAGCCTAGGCCCCGGCCCGTCGCCCCTTGGCGTCGCCCCTAGCCCCTAGGCTCGGCCCCTTGGCCCCGTTGCCTCGGCCCCGCTGGCCCCGTCGACTTCGTCGCCCGCGCCCGGCCCGTACCTAGCCCGACGCCCGGCCCGAACCTAGCCCGTCGCCTCGGCCCCGCTGGCCCCGTCGACTTTGTCGCCCGCGCCCGGCCCGTACCTAGCCAGTCGCCCGGCCCGTACTTAGCCCGTCGCCCGGCCCGTACCTAGCCCGCGCCCGGCCCCGTCTCCTGCCCGCGCCCGGCCCGTACCTAGCCCGACGCCCGGCCCGTACCTAGCCCGTCGCCCGGCCCGTACCTAGCCCGTCGCCCGGCCCGTACCTAGCCCGTCGCCTCGGCCCCGCTGGCCCCGTCGACTTCGTCGCCCGCGCCCGGCCCGTATCTAGCTCGTCGCCCGGCCCGTACCTAGCCCATCGCCCGGCCAGTACCTAGCCCGCGCCCGGCCCCGTCTCCTGCCTGCGCCCGGCCTGTACCTAGCCAGTCGCCCGGCCCGTAACTAGCCCGTCGCCCGGCCCGTACCTAGCCCGCGCCCGGCCCCGTCTCCTGCCTGCGCCCGGCCCGTACCTAGCCCGTCGCCCCGCCCGTACCTCGCCCGCGCCTGGCCCCGTACCTAGCCCGCGCCCGGTCCGTACCAAGCCCGCGCCTGGCCCCGTCCTTCGCCCAGCGCCCGGCCCCGTCTCTTGCCCGCGCCCGGCCCCGTACCTTGCCCAGCGCCCGGCCCCGTACCTGCCCAGCGCCCGGCCCCGTACCTGCCCAGCGCCAGGCCCTGTACCTGCCCAGCGCCCGGCCCTGTACCTGCTTTGGCCCCTCGCCCCCCTAGGCCCCTCGGCCCCCTATGCCCCTTGTTTGGCCCTGCGGCCCCTAGGCCCCTCGGCCCCACCTCACAGACTGGTGCCCGGCCCCCCGGCCCCTTGTTTGGCCCCTCGGCCCCCTAGGCCCCTCGGCCCCCCTAGGCCCCTCGGCCCCTTGTTTGGCCCCTCGGCCCCCTAGGCCCCTCGGCCCCACCTCAGAGACTGGCGCCCGGCCCCCTGGCCCCCCCTTGTTTGGCCCCTCGGCCCCCCTAGGCCCCTCGGCCCCCCCCTAGGCCCCCCGGCCCCCCCCCTTGTTTGGCCCTGCGGCCCCTAGGCCACTCGGCCCCACCTCAGAGACCGGTGCCCGGCCCCCCGGCCCCTTGTTTGGCCCCTCGGCCCCCTAGGCCCCTCGGCCCCACCTCAGAGACCGGTGCCCGGCCCCGTACCTGCCCAGCGCCCGGCCCTGTACCTGCCCAGCGCCCGGCCCCGTACCTGCCCAGCGCCCGGCCCCGTACCTGCCCAGCGCCCGGCCCCGTACCTGCCCAGCGCCCGGCCTTGTACCTGCTTTGGCCCCTCGCCCCCCCCCCCCCCCCCCAAGGCCCCTCGGCCCCCTAGGCCCCTTGTTTGGCCCCGCGGCCCCTAGGCCCCTCGGCCCCACCTCAGGGACTGGCGCCCGGCCCCCCGGCCCCTTGTTTGGCCCCTCGGCCCCCTAGGCCCCTCGGCCCCTTGTTTGGCCCCGCGGCCCCTAGGCCCCTCGGCCCCACCTTAGAGACCGGCGCCCGGCCCCCCGCCCCCCCCCCCCCCCCCTTGTTTGGCCCCTCGGCCCCCTAGGCCCCTCGGCCCCCCCCTAGGCCCCCCGGCCCCTTGTTTGGCCCCGCGGCCCCTAGGCCACTCGGCCCCACCGCAGAGACCGGTGCCCGGCCCCCCGGCCCCTTGTTTGGCCCCTCGGCCCCCTAGGCCCCTCGGCCCCTCTAGGCCCCCCCGGCCCCTTGTTTGGCCCCGCGGCCCCTAGGCCACTCGGCCCCACCTCAGAGACCGGCGCCTGGCCCCCCGGGCCCCTTGTTTGGCCCCTAGGCCCCTCGGCCCCCCTAGGCCCCCCCGGCCCCTTGTTTGGCCCCGCGGCCCCTAGGCCCCTCGGCCCGACCTCCGAGCCCGGCGCCCAGCCCCCTGGCCTCTTGTTTGGCCCCTCGCCCCCCCCCCCCCCCCCCTAGGCCTCTCGGCTCCCCTAGACCCCCGGCCTCTTGTTTGGCCCCGCGGCCCCCAGGCTCCTCGGCCCCTATGGCGTCGCTTCGAGTTCTCCCGTTCGACCCGGAGGGTAGACCTGTAGCATTTGACACGTGGCACGACGATCTGCAACTGTACCTACTGAGCGACAGTCGGGACAGTGTCTCACTGTTTGACCACGTGTCCGGTGCCGCTCCAGCCCCTCCCGCCACAGCTGACGTTTCGACTCGTTCCCAGTGGCTGTCTCGTGACGCTACTGCCCGCTTGGCCATTCGCAACCACCTGCCCGCAACAGAATGTGCTCACTTTGGCGAGCACAGGACAGCACAGGCCTTGTACGACGCTGTCGTTGCTCGCTACTCCTCTCCTGCCACTGCTGCTCTTGGCAGACTGCTACTGCCCTACCTGTTCCCTGAGCTGTCGGCTTTTGCCACAGTAGCGGACCTGGTTACCCACCTGCGCACTAGCGACGCTCGCTACCGCGCTACCGTTTGTGAGAATCGAGAATGAAATGAGTGAGAATGATTGCACTAGAAAGCATTGGGATACATATAGCAAACCCTAACAGGGTTGTACTCACTACAGAGTACCCCACTGCAGACTAGAGAAACATAATATTCTGACACACCCCCATAGTCAAAGTGGGGTATGATCAGCACA